TTAAGTTAGGTTAGGTTAGGTTAGGTTAGGTTAGGTTAGGTTAGGTTAGGTTAGGTTAGGTCAGGTTAGGTAGGAGGTTAGGTTATTTAATCGTCAGGTAAAATAAGCTGGGGTGTCTAATCTTCATGAGACACCCGATAGATACACACTTCCTTCTTGTGGGTCACATTCTCCTTGACCTCTGACCTCTCTTGACCTGCAGTTCAAGGATGTCTTAGTTGTGTAGGAGCTATTTAATCTAAGTTAAGCTAAGTTAGACGAACCTAAATTAACTCACCCCAACCTAACAACCAACCTAACCAACCAAACACAACCCTCCTAACCTAACTAACCTAACCTAACCTAACCCCTACACCTAACCAACTACAACCTAACCTAACCTAACCTAACCTAACCTAACCTAACCTAACCTAACCTAACCTAACTAACCTAACTCTAACCTAACTCAACCCAACCATAAGGAAAATATTACCACACACACACACACACACACACACACACACACACACACACACACACACACACACACACACACACACACACACACACACACACACACACACACACACACACACACACACACACACACACACACACACACACACACACACACACACACACACACACACACACACACACACACACACACACACACACACACACACACACACACACACACACACACACACACACACACACACACACACACACACACACACACACACACAGCACACACACACACACACACACACACACACACACACACACACACACAAAAGCCTACCATTACCTCAACGTTTCAGAGAGAATTAAAAAGTGAAAACAAGATAAAGGAGAAGAGAACTGAGAGAGAGAGAGACGTAATTGGCAGAATGTAGGAGAAGGTGAGATAGTGAGAGGCGAGACAGAAAGCAGGAAGGAGAGACAAGAAATGAAGGATTAAGAAGCAGGAGAGAGGAGAGGGTGAGGATGTGTGGTGAGTGTGTGCGGTGTGTGGTGGTGGTGTGGTGGTGTGTGGTGAGTGTGGTGTGTGTGGTGAGTGTGTGGTGAGGTGTGTGTGGGTGGGGGTGTGGTGTGTGGTGTGGTGGGTGTGGTTGTGGTGGTGGTGTGGTGGGTGGTGTGGTGGGGTGTGTGGTGGTGTGTGGGGTGTGTGGTGAGGTGTGTGGTGGTGTGTGTGGTGGTGGGTGGTTGTGTGGGGTGGTGTGTGGATAGGGAAACCGGCGATACAGCCTCAAAGCCTAATTCCTCCGTTACCTTCACCCTCATGAATCAACTCTCTCTCCCTCCTCCCTCCTGTCTCTCCCCCTTATATTCCTCTCTTCCCCCTTATATTCCTCTCCCCCTCATTATGTATATGTATGAGGTTTATGGAAGTTTCACACCCAGAATGACCTAACAGAGACCACCCCCATCACCACACTCTTCCCTTACCACACCCTCACACACACCTCCTCAACACAACCACTCTAACTCACACACACATACACACACACACACACTTCCCCATACACACCCCCACAACCATCACCCCCCCAAACATACACACTGTCTACCACACCTGCGGAAAAACCTGAGACAAACACCTGCGACTATACAATTTACACACACACACACACACACACACACACACACACACACACACACACACACACACACACACACCTGAACTCAAGAGGCGCAGCTGTGATAGTGCTAAACAACTGACTCAACATATACCTAACCTAACCTAACACCATCTATGGATTTACAGTCATGTGTGTGAATAAAGCTTTCATATGTGTAATTTTGAACATGTCAATATTTTGGAATTATATTTTGGCATGTGGAAGGTGTGTGAGTATATGGATACCTGTATAGTGTATACACGTGTGGAAATATGTACAGTATATAGATAAATTTTACACACACACACACACACACACACACACACACACACACACAAAGTAGATATTCATTAAACACTTAAATAATTTTTTGTCACGTATATCATCAATAAAACACTAATGTAACTCTGACGTCATCCTTGATATGGGTTCCTAAGATGTTTGTGTTATGTCAGGTATATAAGGACTCGTATTGCAGTATATACAGTACATATAAAAAAAAATTATTAAACATTCATGAAAAAGACCTTTTTTTTTTGCATTTTCTGAAGCACTAATGAAAAAAGACCCTAATTTGTGCATTCTTTAAAACACCAATGAAAAAATACCATATTTTTGCATTCTTTAACCAAATTCTTCTCTAAAACTACAATACTTTCCTTATAATCTCACATCAAAACACAATATATATATAATAACTATCTAATGTAACCAAGGTAATCTGTTCCATTTTTAGTCGGCTCTATATCATATAAATTAATGAACATCTATATACATTGTGACAGGTAACTTATATACATTATTATCAGGTAACTATATATGTCATTTACTTCTATCTCGTTAACTATTTTCTTAGTTTATGCATCCTCAGACATGGTTTGAGAGAGAGAGAGAGAGAGATAAAAGGTGATAAAGAGAAAGAAAGAGAGAATTGGGAACAGAGAAAGGGAGAAAAAATCACGAACCTAAGCAAAAAAAAAAAAAACATCTATTTACGTCTGCGATTAAACAAAAAACTCACCATTATATTTACTGTACCTCAATCCATTAAACCACACACACACATCAAAATACATAACAACAATACTCGTACTTGACCTCGTACTTGACCTTCAGAGCTCCAGACAATACCACAACAAGAGCCGTCTCAGTCTGCCAATAGTGAACAACACTCAAGAGGCGTCCACCCTCCACTGTACTTACCTGTAAAGGAAAAAAAAATATCATTAGAATTTGTATCTTATAAAATAAATAAAAATAAATAAATAAATAATAAATATAAATTGAAAATAATAAAACACGGGGTTGACTGCAGGGTTTGGCCGTTTAATTAGGTCACTGTCCTAATTGGCCCTATTTGTGTCAGGCTCCAATTTAACCAACAATTTGAACTATTAAATTTGGAGGGTAATGGGCTCCAACTTTTACTGGTTAGGTTAGGTGACGGTAGTTTAGGGTTGCAGGTTGGGTTGGGTTGGGTTACGATACGTTAGTGTTAAGGTTAAAATAGGTTGCTAGGTTATGGTAAGTAGGGTTAGGTTACGGTAAGTAGGGTTAGGTTATGGTAAGTAGGGTTAGGTTACGGTAAGTAGGGTTAGGTTACGGTAAGTAGGGTTAGGTTATGGTAAGTGGTTAGGTTAGCAAGTAGGTTAGGTTATGGTAAGTAGGGTTAGGTTATGGTAAGTAGGGTTAGGTTACGGTAAGTAGGGTTAGTTATGGTAAGTAGGGTTAGGGGAAGTAGGTTAGTTATGGTAAGTAGGGTTAGGTTATGGTAAGTAGGGTTAGGTTATGGTAAGTAGGGTTAGGTTATGGTAAGTAGGGTTAGGTTACACCCTAATAAGACTCAGATCTGGGCCCACTTGGCTCAGCCTTAGAAGATAAACAAAGACACAGAGCTAATTAAAATGAAAAGTTTTTTGTTTGAGAAATTGTCACATAAAAGAAAACTGCCCACAACACACACACACACACACACACACACACACACACACACAAAGGTGTCCTAAGAGAAGAGCTAATTAATCTGAAGGGTTGACTGGAAATTAGTCAAATAGAGTTTTGGACATGTGAGAGGCAGAGTGACAGGTGTACACAGGTGAGGGGGCACGTGTCACCAGGAGGAGTGTGAGGGGGGAAGTGAGGGGAGGGGGGAGGTGAGGGAGGGGTGGAGGTGAGGGGAGGGGAAGGTGAAGGGAGGGAGGGGTGGAGGGAGGATGAGTCACGCTGGGGTCAGAGGTCAGCCACGAAGCTTAGTGAAAGCTGGTCGGTGCCAAGACGGAGGTGTGAGTTACCCCGTGTCACACTATACATACATACACCTGTACACACACACACGGTCTTTAATATACAAGGAGGCAGTCTGGCCGGCCGGCACTCCACTTGACTACTTTCACTTCCTCAATTGTAAAGTTAGGTGCCTCCTCACAGCTGGGTCGATTTAGGGTGCCCTGTGCGTGAACTTGATACTCTAAGGACAGGAAGCGAGTGTTGTTTTCACTTTACGCAAAATTAACGTTACCACCATCCCACCTACCAAAGTCGATAAATCAAATCACCCAACCACCCACCAGTCCTCTCTCTCCTCCCCCCCCCCCCCCCCCCCCCCCCCCCCCCCCCCCCCCCCCCCCCTTCTTCCTTCCTTCCTTCCTTCCTTCCTTCCCCTTCCCTTCTTCTTCCTTCCTTCCTTCCTTCTTCCTTCTTCCCTTCTCTTCCCCCCCCCCCCCCCCCCCCCCCCCCCCCCCCCCCCCTCCCCCCTCCTCTCCTTGTGTTAGGTTAGGTTTTAGGTTAGATGAGGTTAGGCTGTAAGTTAGGTTACATTAGATTAAGCATGTTAAGTGTTGTGTTACGCTGAGTTATGGTAGGTTAGGTTAGGTTAGGTTACGTATAATCGGCTTTAGAAACAAGAACTTCACGCATCAACCCGGCATAGTCTCCCTGTGCCCTCACGTGGTGACTTGGAGAGAGAGAGAGAGAGAGAGAGAGAGAGAGAGAGAGAGAGAGAGAGAGAGAGAGAGAGAGAGAGAGAGAGAGTCTTAAAGGCAACAGTTGTTAATAATATTTTCATTTTCCTTAAGAGTAGACGAGGATCTCAAAACGACCTGCCTTCTCTTCCTTTCCCTTCCCTCCCTCCTTCCTCTCTCTATCTCCTCCTTCCTTCCTTCCTCCCTTCCTCTCGTCCCCCCTCCCTCCTAGACCTGAAACTGCACTTGAGGGAGGTGTAAAACTCATCCAGGATTGAATCTTTATAAGAGCTGTGACCTTGACCCCATGACCCCTTAACCTCTTGACCTCCTTGACCCCATGACATTAATACTCGTATATCTACTAAGTATAAACACTAAAGGCCTGTCTGTTCTCGAGGTATACACGCTAGAGCATTAGTACTTACACACACGGTTATAGAAGGCGGTAAACCCTACTCGTTGCAGTGTCGTGGTCGTCGTGGTCGTCATCATCTTCGTCGTGGTTTTTGTCCTGGTCGTCGTTCTTGTCCTTGTCATTGTTCTTGTTATCGCCTTCGTCTTCGTCATCGCCTTCGTCTTCGTCATCGCCTTCGTCATCGTCTTCATCGTGGTCCTCGTCATTGTTCTCGTCATGGTAGTCGTCTTCATTATTGACCTCGTCGTTAACATCCTCGTCATCGTCGGTGGGAGTAACCAGGCGAACTACCACCCATAACCTCAGCCGGTGTAGCGGGCTGGGAGGTGCCCAATCTGAGCCTCTTTCCTCCTCATTATGCGCATGCGTGGTGGTAACCCTCAGACCGCTGTACATAAACTGCCTGACAGCTCCCCCAGTTAGGTTTAGGTTAGGTTAGGTCAACACCGCAAAAATAATTTACATAATTACAGATAGTAATAATGATCTGATCTGATCTGATCTGATCTGATCTAACCTAACCTAACCTAACCTAACCTAACTGGGGAGTTTCAGACCGTTCCGCCAGATAAACCAACACCAGGGCGATAATGTATCCAGGCAAGAAAAACCCTCCCAGGTAGACTAACTCTCTCCAGGTGGACTAACTCTCCCCCAGGTGGACTAACTCTTCCCAGGAAGACTAACTCTCCCCAGGTGGACTAACTCTCCCCAGGTGGACTAACTCTCCCCAGGTGGACTAACTCTCACAGGTAGACTAACTCTCCCACAGGTGGACTAACTCTCCCAGGTAGACTAACTCTCCCCAGGAAGGCAACTCTCTGGTGGACCTAACTCTCCCCAGGTGGGCCTAACTCTCCCCAGGTGGAGCTAACTCTCCCCCAGGTGGACCCAACTCCTCCCCAGGAGAATTCAACTCTCCCCAGGAAGACTATCTCCCCAGGTGGACTAACTCTCCCCAAATTAGACTAACTCTCCCCCAGGTGGACTAACTCTCCCCAGGTAGACTAACTCTCCCCCAGGTGGACTAACTCTCCCCCAGGTGGACTACGTGGCTCTCACCTGACACCTGGCCACCCTCCTCCTCTTACTACAACCAGCGAGTATGTTGGGGCTCAGTTCCCCCCCTCCTGCCTGCCTCCCTGCTTGCTTGCCTGCCTCCCTGCTTCCATGCCTGCCTCCCTGCTTGCATGCCTGCCTCCCTGCTTCCATGCCTGCCTCCCTGCTTCCATGCCTGCCTCCCTGCTTGCATGCCTGCCTCCCCTCATGCCTGCCTTCCATGCCTGCCTCCCTGCTTCCATGCTTGCCTCCCCTGCTTCCATGCCTGCCTCCCTGTGAGATTGACGCACTAAAGGGGGAAAATGAAGCCCTCAGGACTGAACTCCTTCAGGTAGGTGTCCTGCCTAGCAGGACACCTGCGAAGGAGGAGCAGGCGTGGAGAGTAGTTGTCTCCAAGCTGACCAGGGTGTGGAGTGTAGTAACCCTAACCAGGTGCTGGAGGAAGCTGGCGGGGAAGAGAAGAGGCAGGACGGTATGGTGCAAGGAGAGGAAAGGGCAGTTGTACAAACCCTGCCCAGTGGTAAGGTCGTGGGAGTTGGGGACAGCCAGGTGAGATTCTTAGATAGGACTCTTTGTGCAAGAGATAGGAAACGTAGGACTAGGGTGTGTTTTCCTGGGGCTGGGATAGGGCATGTAGCCGAGAGGTTAGACAGGGTTTTGTCAGGGGAGGGTACCAATCCAGTAGTGTGTCTTAGTGTGGGAGGAAACAACATAGGAAAGGTTAGGAGTGAGGAACTTTTCAAGAGGTATAGGGAGGCGCTGGGGAAAGTTAAGAGATAGGGGAGGGATCCCGATAGTATGTGGTGTCTTGCCTAGAAGAGGGGTTGGTGGTGAATGGCTGTCCAGGGCAATTGCTATAAATTGCCGACTGGAAAAACATTGTGCAAACAATGGTTGGGCATTCATTGATAGCTGGCAACGATTCTATGGCCACTACTACCTGTACAGTCGTGACGGAGTACACTTGTCTCGTGCGGGGGTAAAGACGATGTCTGCATCCCTGGAGCTTATGGCGCCGTGAACCTCCAATTGGGGTATACCCGTGCCTCTTAGGTGATCAGAGTAAGGTTTACCAAATACGGCTTCGAGATTCACGGCGCCATAAGCTCGATGAACAGGCTCTGTGTGAAATATAACAAAGTCTAGGAATGCTTTTAGTGTCCTGGTGGTCTAGAGGTAGCGTTCCCTGGTCACACACATAAGATCGTGGGTTCGAGCTCTGGCGGGGTGAGGTTGTTGATTACATGTAGAAGTCTGCGCGCTTTATGGGCTAATGAAATATATATATATATATATATATATATATATATATATATATATATATATATATATATATATATATATATATATATTTACGAATATACCCGGCACAGGTCATCGACCCACAAGGGGGGCGAAAAATAAGAGTAAAAAGAAATTAAAATAGAAAAAGGAAAATGTTATATTAATCTACACCACGAAGATGCCGGAAAACCAGCTTTTTAAAGTGAGACAGATTGTATAGAGTATGGAAACACAGAAGAAGGCAGAGCATTCCACAGTTTGGCTGTGTGAGGAAAGAAGGAGGTACTATAACGGGTTATTCTAGTGTGACCGACATCCACAGAGAAACGGTGGGCACCGCGGGCAAGACGTGTGTTACGAGCCCACGGCCTTGCCGGCGGTACACAGGATGCCAAATCCACCGAACAATGTTCGTTAAAGTACCTGTAAAAGAGAGAGAGTGAAGCAACATTGCGGCGAAGAGAAAGGGAAGAGAGATTGTCAACTAAAGGAGGAGAGTTAATAAGACGAAATGCCTTTGATTCCACCCTATCTAACAGTTGGACACAAGAAGAGCCACCCCAGATATGAGAGCAGTACTCCAAGTGGACCCAATGAATCCCTTATATACTTGAAGCAACTGCTCAGGAGTGCAGTAGCTACGGCATCTGTACAGCATTCACAACTTTCGGGAGGCAGCTTTAGCAATGTTGTGGATGTGTGGCTTCCGCCTCTGTCTACCCAGCAGTAATTGGGAACCTGGATGTTAATCGATTTGCGGATCGTATTTCGAGGTAATGGTTAGCCAGTGCAGCTGGCGAGTTGTCCGGTCTTCTCAGACTATTCCATGACACTGGGTCAAGCAACTCGTTAACGTAGGGTGTGGTTGTTGTGTTGGCGACAGCTTCTACACCTTAAACAAATTCACGCCTAGGTGGCCGATGGGTCAGCAATCCTAGATTTCGAGGGCAACCATTATTAGAAAAACTGGTGAGGCCTAACATATCTATTTTAGAATGATTCCTAGACGTGATGGAAGAGGAGTGGGTAATAAGAGAAGGAGATAGTTAGGTTAGGTTAGGTTAGGTGAGATAAATATAGCACGTGCAAATGGTTAGCGGAGGAGGGGGGGGGAGTGTCCAGGAGTCAGGTTACCCAAGACGCGGCAAGTCTGAGGTGTTATCTAATACCCCTCACCTGCTACCTCACCCTTCACCTGCTGCCTCACCCCTCACCTGCTGCCTCACCCCTCACCTGCTGCCTCACCCCTCACCTGCTGCCTCACCCCTCACCTGCTGCCTCACCCCTCACCTGCTGCCTCACCCCCTCACCTGCTGCTGCTCCACCCATCACCTGCTGCCTCACCCATCACTGCTGCCCACCCCTCACCTGCTGCCTCACCCCCTCACATGCTGCCTCACCCTCACCTGCTGCCTCAGCCCTCACCTGCTCTCTCAGCCCTCACCCCTGCCTCACCCCTCACCTGCTGCCTCACCCTCACCTGCTGCCTCACCCCTCACCTGCTGCCTCACCCTCACCTGCTGCCCACCCATCACCTGCTGCCTCACCCCTCACCTGCTGCCCTACCTCACCTGCTGCCCCCATCTCCACCTAGAGGGTAGATTAGGTTAGGTTAGTTAGGTTAAGTTAGGTTGGCTAGGATCTTTCATCATCAGGTAAAATAAACAGAGGTTCCTAATCTTCAGGTGAATCCTACTAAGGACCTGGTCGGACTGGGACCATCTGACCTACAGCCTTCTTCACTACACACCTCACCACTCCACAGCCTCCCCCTCCTCCACACCTCTCTTCCCTCCACACCCTCCCCATCATATCCATCTTCCCTCCTCCTCCACACCTCTCTTACCTGCCCCTCCACACCCTCCCTCCACACCCTCCCCCATCATATCCATCTCCCCCCTCCACACCTCCTCTCTTACCCCTCCCTCCACACCTCCCAGCTCCACACCTCTCTTACCCCTCCCTCCACACCCTCCCAACACGCGTCAGTCGTTACATCACCTCGCCCCAACACCATCATCCACACCACTACTCTACCCCACCACTACCCCACCACTACCACTACTTACCCCACCACTACCCCCACACCCCACCACTACCCCCACCAAGTGTATTAGTCACAAGCACCGACTCCATCCAACACTTTATGACCAACAGTAATAGCCGAGGAGTCATTTTTTTACAGCTGGTGTGGACGACTACACGACCCATAAGCCCTAGGTGGTCGTGTTGGTCTGTCTGGGTTGGTGGAGACGGTAACCTCCTTGATACCTGTCTCATACCTGTCATAAAGGTGTGTCACTAATAGGGTCGTAGGCTGTAGTTCACCAACAACCTATCTCCTCCTATCCTGTTATTGAATACCTCACACCTTACACCTGACGTAAATATAATACTAACCATAAACTGTGGATAGGGTTAGGTTAGGTTAAGTAAGGACAGTTCAGGTCAGGTTAGATTAGGTCAGCTCTGGTTAGGTCAGATCAGGTTAAGTTAGGTTAGGTTCCGAGTCCAAGTGGTGGTGGTGGTGGTGGTGTAGCGCTATATTACATGACCCTCTAGTGCTGATATCTCTTTCCACACACACCGATTGTTCCATAGCTCTACCTCCCGCCTCTGTGTGTGTGTGTGTGTGTGTGTGTTCAGTTCTAGGATTGGCTAATACTGGGATAACACACTCTAGTACACACACACACACACACACACACACGTAGTCTCCACAGCAAGTGATTGGTTAAATGGGACACTCAACTAATATAACCACTGGGGATTGGGGCCTTCTCCTAATGGCTCCCGGCCCTAATTGGTCTCATTGTTAATGAGTCTCATTTCTAGTAGGCCCCACTTCTAATAGGTTTCCGTTCTAATGGGCCCCACTTCTAATGCATTTCTGTTCTAATGGGCCCCACTTCTAATAGGTTCCGTTCTAATAGGTTTCCGTTCTAATGGGCCCACTTCTAATAGGTTCCGTTCTCTAATGGGCCCCACTTCTAATGCGTTTCTGTTCTAATGGGCCCCACTTCTAATAGGTTCCGTTCTAATAGGTTTCCGTT